AATATTTTATTAAAATGATCCTTATAACTCGACATTTTATCAAAATTAGGCTTCCTATGCACAGTAATAAAAGAATAACCCATGATTTCAAATTTATATTATAATTAAAAAATTTTTTAAAATTCTAAAAAAAATTAAATCTTAAAAATTTTACAATTATTGCGTTGTGTAAATTAAAAATCAAATAAAAAAAATTTTCTTACTTTTAAATATCCAGAATCCACTATTAATTTGAGGAACCCGGTCCTAGAAATTTTTCTTTTTGATTAATAAACTCTGAAATTTTCTTAGCAAAATCACCCTAATAAGAGTTAACGTATCCTGGTCACGGCACCAATATTTTATCTGTAATATATTAATTTCCAAGAATTTAAAATAATATTTTCCAAGACTTTCTTTATTTTATAATTCATAAAAATCATCATAATTTTTTTTATATCTCTTTTCTTTTGTATAACAATTATTATATTCCTCCGCGTTAATTCTTAATCCATTCAATATAAACAAAAATCAATATTTTTTATATTTCTAAATATATATTAATAATTGATTGACATTTATAATTTAATAATAATAATATTATTGATAAAATATATATATAATATACCAACATATATGAAATATCTACTACAAATATATAAGAAATATATAACACTTATTAAAAATCATTAATTAAAAATGGTTGATTACTTAATTAATAAAACAAAGAAAATAAATTTAAACCAATGAAATAGAAAGAAAATAATTTTTAAACCAATGAAATAAGACCTTAATAAGCCAATAAAAATAAAAAATAAAAGCAAAATAATAACGTATATAAGAAAGATTATATTACAAAATTTAATATAGAATCATGGGTTCGAATCCTGTTATATACAAAAAATTTTCTTAAAATTTAACATTAGAGAGATATAGTCTTTATCGTTTTATTTAACATTAAGAAGATAGGAAAAATTAAAATTAACATTAAGAAGATAGGAAAGTTGATGAGAAAAATAAAAATTAACATTAAGGATATACGAAAACGTTCATTTCTTGATTAAGGTGATTGTATATATATAGATTATTGAGTATATAGACATTTTAATTTTTTTTCTTTAGCATTTCTCCTTTCCTGGAGGTAAGACTCCTTCAATATCTCTCTCCACTTTATGTTATTCATTCGATTCATACTATCTCTTACATCTGATTTATACTTCTTTATATTGGCTCTAACTTTATGGCCCCATTGAAGTTTTGGCCTTCCTCTTTTACGGTTGCCCATCACTTCCAAACTCTCAACCTTATTTCCTATGTAGTTCATAGGCCTTCTCATTGTGTGCCCATACCACCTAAGTATATTTACCATCATCTTAGTCTTAATGGGCACTACCTTTAAACTACTTAGTATTCTTGTACTGCGCACTTTATCCTTTCTTGTAACTCCAGCAATCAACCTCTCCATAGTTTGTAGATTTCTCTCGTCTGATTCCTTGGTTGGCCATGTTTCCGAACTATATAGAATAGTTGGTTGTACTATGGAACTGTAAGATTTTCCCTACAATTTGTGTGGGATTCTTTCAAAGAGCACTCCAGATAAAGATCTCCATTTTAACCACCCTTGATTAATTTTACACTTTATCTCTTTCTCTATTGTGCCGTTTGTTTGTATAGTGGAGCCCAAATATTTTCAGCTCTTAATTGCCGATATCTGCCATTCATTTATATGAATGCTCTCTGTTTCATCTCCTCCTATCACAATATATTCCGTCTTTTCTTATTTATATTTTTTCGTAAAGTTTAAGACTTGACAATTGTGTGGATCCCCTTTATTTTTGAAGATAGGAACTAGATAAGCTCTACCTCCAATTTTGAGGAATCTCTTCATTTCCCAGTTTTTATTGTATAGATTTGTGAGGAAATGTATTCCATCACTCTGCTTTAAAGCTTTCTACTTGAATATCATCTGGACCCCTAGCTTTGTTGTTTTTCATATGAGGCATGTGATTATTTCTTGTTCTGTTATTGGCTGTATAAGGTTTTGACATGGGGAGTGTCATCTAGATGTAGTATGTGGAGATTAAAGTTGAGAAGCTCCTGAAAATATTCTTTCCATCTATTAATTATTTCTTTTTCTTTTATTATCAATTTTCCATCTATTTTTGATTACTTTCGGAGCTCCGTTTATATCCCTAGAATTCTTTTCTGTTTGGCTAATCTGTATATTTTATTTTGCCCTTCTTTGGTATGTAGTTCTTCATACATGTCTTCGTATGAAAAATTTGGCCCTAACCACCCCTTTGTAGCTATTCTCTTGGATTTTTTGTATCTTGTCTTGTCATCTGGGTTTTTGGATTCCATATTTTAAAAAGGTGTTTTTTCTCCTGTATAGTGGTTTGTACCTCTTCACTCCACCACCATAGTTCTTTGTATGATTTGTTACCTCCCCTTGTCAAGTATAGTGTCGATTTGACAGTGTCTATTAATCTGGATGAAAGGTCTGTCCACATTTTTTCACTAACTTGTGAGAAATCTATGGTTTCAATGTTTGCATTGATTGCAAATGCATCTTTCATTGTTTTTAATTTACTCCATTTGATGCATGGTTCCAGTTTTATCTTGTTTAGTGGATTTATTTGTGATGTGTAAATCCATGATTAGTAACTTGTGTTGCGCGGCTATATCTTCTCCTGGGATGACTTTGCAGTCTATTACATTTTTAATCTTCTACGAGAGATTAGCATGTAATCTATCTGTATTTTCCTTGTACCACTTTCATATATTATTAAATGACTGTCTTTTTTCCTATAGTAGGTGTTGGTTAAGGCAAGGTCAAAGGCTTGCGCAAATTTTAATACATGCTCTCCTATATCTAAAACCACCATGATGCCTTTTGTAGCTATCTCTTGTTTTCCCCACATGTGCATTTAGGTCATCCACAGGGATTTTCATTACAGCTTCATCAAGAATAGCTTTTTCTTTGCAACCCGTTTGAGGGGCATATACTAAAAGATGTGTAATATTGATTGACCATGAGTTTTATCTTCATTAGTCTATCAGAGATCCTGTCGCACTGAGAAGGTTAGATCTTGACTGAGGATGATGCCGACACCGTTCCTATTGCTAAGAATTATATTATTGTACAATTTATACCCATCTCCAATCATTAAAGTCTTCTGACCTTTCCATTTCGTCTCTTGTATGCAAACTATATCAACTTTGATGCCAATTCTCTCGTCTTACCTTTAAGTGTCCCAATATTCAAACTTGCTAATCTTGTCTTCTTTGCTTTTACCTTATTTTACTTTTTGCAGGATGGAGGTCTACACCCTGCGCGTCGCTTGAAGGGAACGCCCTATCTTTCATATTCATATTTTCGTTTGTTTCCTTTATTTGTTTATTGGACAAGTATCCTTAGCACCCTGTCCAGGCCTGTCGGTGACCGGGGTGTCATCTCTAAGCTCCGAAATTTATCTTAACATATGTCTTTACACATCAGTCATCGAAGAAAACCCTGGAAATTTTTATGCTTCTTACCAGGATTGAACCTGAGTCCTCAACTCAATGAGGGGTTACTTGCAAAATCGGATATAACATGTGTTGTTTCTATCAATGTTTCGAGAAGATATGAGATAACATTAATTAATCTTTGTTTTGTATCACGTGAGTTTTATTATTAGAATTAATAATCCTTGTTTTTGATATATTTGTTATTGTTTAATCATATGGAAATAAATTTATGGACATGAAATTGCGCTTTTGGAGTGGTATTTTAAGCAATATACATTTATTGAATATTGTATATTCGAAATAATTTTTGAAGTTATATCTTTTATACCGTATCATTTGATAAAATCGCTTTTTTAATGCATATATTTTAAAATTCACAAAAAAGAAAAATCTAAAATAGACGATAATGAATATAGATTTTATTATTTTTTAATAAAGAATATTATAATCCGGTTATGGGAATTCACTTATCGATTTTTAAAGATATTATCACATTATTGTATATAATTGATTTTTTTGGCGGATAAAAATTAATAATATTTTTAACTTGAGTTTTGCGACCCCGGTTTCAGGAGTTGATATCGACTCAAGACTCGACTCGTGAAACCGTTTAACCAAAATGAGCAAATTATTGAATTAATTCGCGGGGTATTCGTCTAACGTCGCCTTCACAGTTAGCCCCGAATTATCGGGAGATTTTGTATACTACCGACGTGAATTCTCGTTAACTGTGAAGCAGGGAAAACCCCTGGCTATCATCTTAACTCCTAATTTAAAATAAAAAATATTTTTCATATATTCAATTTCAATATTTTTTGCATTTGAAAATCAATGTCAATTTTACAACGCCAAACAAATTATCTTCTATGATTATAAAACATATTTTATTAATAAAAATAACTAACTTTCAAAGAAATTTTCTTTTACTAGTAATATAATTTTTTTAAAAAAATTTTTTGTATAAGAATTTCTAAATTATAACTTTTATGTAACAACTTTCAATAAGGATAATAAATATTTCGTGACAAATTACTTCACGGGAAATGTTAATTTGAAGAAAACCTTATTGAGGTTGTCATCACGTTAAATTTGAGAAAAATTTCCTAACCACTATTTAATTTAAAAACGTCCAATAGGAATTCAGAGAAATCACGTGATTATTTTTCGTACAATTAGTTTACCTATTTCTCTTAGCATTTTCGCGGGACTCAAAATTTAACGATAAGATTACATACGTAGCCAGCATTCAATGGAAGGGTGGAGAAAGGGGGGGGGGGTTAGCTTTTCTCAAATTTTGAATTTTCATTTTACTCCCTCTAAAATTAAGGGGTGGAAAAAAATTAAATTAAGACTTATATATTATTAAATTAATTCTTGTTTTATTGATAGTAATACTCTATAATACAACTAAAATATAAAAAATTTATATTATATAATTAATTTTTTTGATAATTTGTAATGCTTACGAGATTTTATATACTACACGATAAATTAAGTAATATTTTAAAATTAAAATTATAAATAAATTAAAATTTAATTTTAAGTAAATATTAAATAAATATTACAAAGAGAATCTTATTTTTTTTTTTTTTAAAAATATTCCTTTATTAATAGTTTATAAAAAAATAAATAAGTAAATACAATGATGAGGCTATTGTGTTGACCATAATATCTGCGCCATATTTTGATAAATATAACTGTAATCGGTCTTTTTCGCGTTTTCAAAATAGTCTCTAAGGCTGGACCTGACTATAAGAGCCGAATCAGAGACGCCGGTCGAGTTAAAAGCCGTGGTCAAACTTCCCTCAAGGTAGGTTTCGAGCGAAGCTAAGAAGGAGCGCAAAGGGGAAGCTTCCCGGAATTTCTTGAAATCGTCGTAAGTGTTATTTATCACCAAGACGCTTTTCAAAATGGAGTCGGATTTCCCGTCAAAGCATCTGTACCGGGTGTGGTAGTACGTTTCCAACTCATTACCATTTCCGACGAGCGGATTCACAACTTTCTCGCGAAAACTCACGACATTTTGGTCTACCACCAATATCTTGCTCTTGTTATCCATGGGATTCATATTGCCGCTGTATTTGGATAAAGTTTCGTCTATGCAAGGAGTCAAGCCCATTTTAAGGATATCCAGGTTCGAGGAAGGCGGTTCTAAGCAATCGAATTCGTAATGGGCCAATAATCCGCCACTGGATAATACGACGCTAGTGGTGAAATTAGAATCTCCCAGAAAATTAAGGTGCAGCGTCCCGGCGAATAATATGTCTACGGGCGCTAATCTAAAAGCTCCCAGCGAAGATCCTATCCGAATAGCAATGGCACGACTGACATTATTAATTGTTGTAGAAACCTCAGTCGGTATACTGTTAATGTCGTCACTATTGCTGCCTTCCTCTTCATCCTCCCTTTTAACGATATCGGCATCATCGTGACTCACCTCGTTGGCAGTGTCGGCAGCCATATTGGCGTCGCCACCTCCGCCAGCGTTAAGCCGAACGTTGCAAGCCGTGAGCGCGTTGACCCTCTTCTTTTTCTCCATCCAATTCATGCGTCTAAGGTACGTTCTCAGCGAATCCTTGCTGCACTTTAAATGATCGGGCAAACGTTCCATCAGATACGCGATGTTGAACCCTCCCTTGGGTAAAATCAAGCCGCTCCCGTTGGGATCCCCCATTATGGACATAATTTTCGTCACCTCTTCCCGTATCTCCATCTCCTTCGCCCTCTTGTTGTTGGATACGGGCCGACCCCTCTTGATACTATTTGAGATGTAGCCCTCGTCCAGGGTGTAAACCAGGCTTTTGCGAGGGCCCCCTTCATAATCAGGCCTCGTTAATTTGAGGTACTTGTAGAGCGAGGAGAGGGAAACCTGTAACATCTCGCTGAGCTTTTTCACGTTCAAATCAGAGAGTTCGCCCAGGTCATCCATTTCTTCGCCATTATTCGCACCGGAATATCCTTCGCCAGCATTCACTTCCGCCGGATTTTCTTGGCTCCTCAAGGCTGTGGTCTATTATTATCCGAGTATTTTTTTTAATGATAAATATAAATTGAGTGGGAAGGGGAGAGCGATGCCGCATTCATGCCATATTTAACAGCTGATCGAGTTTGTAAATTTTTTTTAGTATCCATTTTTAATTCTTCTTTATTAATATCAATTTTATCCTTAATTTCCAATCATAAAGATAATTAAATAATTATTGATATAAATGAGAAAAAAAAACTTATCTCAAAGAATTTTATAAACCCGGCCAGATGTTAAATGCGGTCCAATGTTAATGCAGCATCGGATTTTTAATAGAAATTGGCGAAAAATTTGTATTTGTTCTAAAAATAACTAAATTCGGGATATTTTGAGGTTATCTTCAGGATAGAACAGCTGGGCACAAAAAAAAATATGGATCTAATTGGTAAAAGGCGTGCTGGATAAATTGCACTGCTTTTTTTAAAAAAACAAACCTGATTTCTCTCTTGGCGCCTAATAGCTTCTTCTATAAGCGTGTCAGCCTCGACCATCTTTTCTCGCGTCCATTTTACGTATTTTCTCTTTTGACGCAGTTCGTTCCGACGTTTTTTGCTTCCCCTCCGCGGCGTCTTGTTTTGCTTGGGCCCGTATACGATATCACTGTCCCTATATCGATCATAACCAAGTTATATACTTTATCTGGCGGTTGCTTATACAAGCCTATGCCCTATCTCTTACAACTGTAGACCTAGCCCAAAACTTTGACATAACCATTATTATGATTGTTCATATTCTTAATTACTTTTGCAATTGTTACCTGAATAAAAGTAATACCGGATAGGGCCAGGAAATAAATCTTTTTTAGTCCCGAGTCGGTCTCGAAAATATTTTTCTTATTCAAATCCGGCCCGCTTCTGCAGGTCTCCTAGTAATTATTATCGCATTTCCATAAACATCATATTGACCGCAATCATTAGACTAGTGGAGAAATCATGAAAACAATTTCAAATTTAAAAGCATATTTAGGCCACAAAATAAAAGTATTCTCTCCTAATTCCAATTACTATATATTTCCAAATTTTGTCAATTTTTTTTGAGAGATTATTTTGGTAATCCCTGAAAATCGTATTCATTATATAAAGATATACTTATAATCTTCCTCTTCTTCCTCGTTGTCCTCTTGAGTTTGGTTCATGTCAGCTAAGCACATGTCAGTCAAATTGGCTAAAGGCTGCTTGATATCTATTTGAGAGTTATCTAAGAATTAATCCAATGAAGATTTAAATCTCTACAAAAAAAAATAGTTGTTTAATAGGGAGGACCTCCTTTGATCGTATCCGTCCATTTCCGTCAAAATGGACGACAGATACGAATTTTTATGCAGATAATTATTCTATTTATGCCTTTATTTAATATATCCGATAATTCTAAGCAATATTTAAGATACAATCTTAATTTACAAACTATTAAATGGACCAATCAGAAACGTGGACGAATTTACGATCAAATTACTTTTTAGGCAAATTATTTAATCGGCTTTAAATTTAAAAACCTAATCGAGATATAATTTTGTGTGGGGAAAAAAAATTAACATACCCCTATGTCTAATCAAAAAAAATAATAATTAATTATTCGATTCTATTACAAAAAATGGGATACTTTACTATTCGTACCCAAACGAATAATTAAAATTCGGTATTCGCTATTCGATTTGAATAATTACAATCGAACACGAATAGTTCATTATTAGTATTTGTTTTCGAGTAGGCCTAATGGCCAAGATAAATTATGTATTTTTTTTAAAAAAAAGAAAAGAATGAAACATAATTCATACGTAAGGAATTTTGATAAGAAATATCGTTGGTAGACATAGCCATCTTTTGAAAATATTAAAAGAAAAAATATAATAAGTGAGCATGCGTGTAAATGATGACCAATCAGATTTAAATATAACTTTTAATCAATTTATAGCGTAAAGGTTTTGAGGAAGACATACATTAAGTGAAGATCCCTGAAACTAGTCAAAAATTTTTAAATTAACTAATTTTTTTATTCTTCTAAGGATCCTTATTAGTAATGCACCTCGTTATTAATGTCGTAACTTTATCTCAAAAAAAAGCAGGTAACGGCTTGCTTTACTGTTGAAAGCAAGTAACGAATTAGGCTAAAAGTAACGACGTCACTTTTTCGAGTAACGTCTCTACTTTCCACGATACTTTCCCTTGAAAACCGATATTTCAAAAAAAACGGGTTATAAATTTTGGCTAACTTGGTTCGTTAGATTATTGTGTAAAACGGCGGGGGGTGCGATGGAAGGGCACGTTGGAGAATGCACTAAGATTACGGTGACATCGCAGCATTGCGAATTGTAAGTATGCCAGGTTACTTGGGCCTTCGGTTTCTCATCCTTGGGTTCGATCGAGGTAAAGGGTCCTTGCGAAATATTGTGTCTGTTTTGTATTTGGCTTCATAAAATTAACATTTTAAAGAGTTTTTTGTGTTGATGTTAATCAAAGAACCTCCTGCCATTCCAAGTTCAAATCGATCGATTGGAAGTCCCCATTCAATTTAATGTCAGAATAAGATGACTAAACTACGAATTGCCGTATTTTATATCAAATTAAAATGACTAAACTACGAAAAGAAAAAATTTTGCAACACAACACCAGACTGATAAACTATATTATGGCAAAAAATTTCAGCCTCCCAAGCCCAACTTTTAAACCTTTGGGGATACAGGAAATTAAAAGCAATAAAGATACATCTTCCTCCCAACTTTTAAACCTTTGGAGATACAAGAAATTAAGAGCAATAAAGATACATCTTCTTGAGTGTCAATTTTCATTTTAATTTTCTTCCCAAACCTCATACGGAAATCCGATTTTTAACTACATTTCAAGAAGAAGAAGAAAAACGTGACAATTAATAATTTCATTATGAATATTGTTGAAAGATCTCAACGGTTGATAATATTTAAAATGTTCCTTAAATCTACGGTCATCGATTTTATATTTTGATTAGTGAAGGTCAACGGTCCGCTTATCGATCTTAGAGCGGGCCGATTAACAGACCGGTCTTTTATCAATATCTAGAGATGTCGCGTCTGTTCATTGCGATACCAAATTTAATGTACCATCAGCAACAAAGTAACCTAGAAATTAGGTACCTTAAGCAGGCAACTGATATAAACGTCAAATTTTTTTTTATCTTTCCAAATGAAAATCCAAAACTAAAAAAATACCTTAAAAATCCAATACACTCTTCTTAATGTTAAAAGTACCACCCGCGAACAAAATGCCACTTTCCTAAGTATTCCATTAGATAAATATTTTAACTGAGCATATTAGCGCGCACAGATGGAACCTTTCAACTCCGCGTTTCGAAACGCAAATTTAAAAAAAAATCGTAAACGCACCTAGCTAGCTATGTTTAAAATGGAGCGTTAACTTCTATTATTTTTTTTTCAATATTGAAATATCTAAATTCTAAATCAAAAAAAAAACTTGCCCTATATATTTAATCAGCAAATCTTTTTTTTTTTGTAATATCATAATTCCCATAAGCTAAAAAATATTTATTATATCAATTTAATATAATTATTTTACTTTTTTTAGAAGATTTTGCGTATCCATGCGCTATTATCACTTCAAAATTTAAAAAAAACGTTTCAAAAATAATCATTTAAAATGCAAAACGCAAATGTTTTCCAATTTAAACGAGAATACATTTGAAATGCATTATTTGCGTTTTTGAGAAAAACGCTGCATTGAAACGTTCAATTCGTGCGCATTTATAAGAATCGAATAAATCATAAAAAGGTTTATAATAGAGACAAAAATGGAATACGTACACCCCCCCCCCCCCATTAAAACCGTTTGAGGTTTTTAAAATATTGTTTTCATGCTTAAATTTATCTCTTTTTTTTTTACAAGCGAGTATAGTTAAGTAATGGTTAAATGTCAGCTGATTAGGCTCAATCTACAGGCGCGCGACCGAGAAAATCCGCTAACATTTAGGGCCTTTTAATTTATGTTAGTTTGAGCTGCTATATTCCAAGTCCAAAGTGGTAGTTGCCGGCTAAAATTATAAAAATTACCAAACTATACAAGCGGTAGTTTTAAAATCAACCCCGACATTCATAAAAAAAGGCCATTTTTCAGGCTTCAACCCCCCCCCCCCCTCCCAATATATTTAAAAATAAAATAGCTGGGAGACTAATATTTCGCAAAAACACATGTTACGCGAACACGTGTTTACGCGCAATGATTCCGTAAAAATCGAAAGGCGTCGGGCGAATCGCGATCGATTTGACATGGAATGACCCTGTAAAAAGGAAAGTATGAGCAGAAAGAATATATTAAAAAATCGGGCCGTCACGGGTTTCTATTTTTTTTAGGTCCAGCCAGGGGTTCGGGCCGGGTTCTGGACCTGCAGATCTTCGCTAAATATACTTGTGATTATGGTTCGTGTTGGATTCCAAATGATTGGCGTGATGATGAATGTGGTGTGACTTGGGGATAGTACTATTATTGTTGGCGTTACTATTATTAATATAATTTTGATGAGCCGGAATATGATGATGACGCTTATCAAGGCCGCCTTTCCTAGCGTTGGCGAGAGCCGATATGGATTGCTGCAAGACCATGTTACTCAAATTTTCGTAATTGAGATTGTTATTCCCGCCGATAATACCGCCGTCTCCTCCGTCGTCCCTAGTCTCGTCCATAACTTCCCCGTGTCGCTGCATATCGGCCAAAGACCCGCTAAGATCGGCTAGCTGGTTGGTATTATTGCAGCAAGACAAGCTCGAGGTCGCGTTAGGTTGGTAGTTGTTAAATATTCCGGGCGAATTGAGGGACTCGGGGTTAGGGGTCATCATGTTACTGATGTAGTCGTTGATGTTTCTAGCCACGGCGGCTGCTCTGGAGTTGTTCCCGTCTGGCGAGAAATTGAAACCTCCTGGATGGATTTCCTGGTGGATGGAATTATTGTTGGTGGAGCACAAAGGGGAGAAAGTAGACGCGTTATTTGTAGATGACGCGATGTAGGGATTGAGGACCGTTAGGATGGACTTGAGACAGGTTGTTAAGTACTCGGTAGAGTTCACTTCCATTTATTTAACAATAAAAGGAATTCTGGCTGGCCTATCTTCGTAATCTTAGTTAATCCAATGGGATAGAATTAAATATTAAAAAAAATTGAAATGTGTCTATGAATCACAAATTCTTTTGCTCAAGTCATAGAATTGATAAGAAGTCGCTGCTGACCAGAGCCCTCTAAGACTAAGGCCATACCTGAACGTTGCGATTTCGCGTTAGAAAGGGCATAATGTTAAAATATAGAGCAAGTGAAAAAAATCGAGTTGGATATTTCAAAGGATTTCCAGCAGTTGTTACTTTAGATGTGTTTGAAGCAAGAGAATTGCTACTCATTTTTCATTGGTCGATCATAAGGGCACGAAATTTAATTTTTTCTCTTCAAAGTTTAGTTTTTTCTTAAATTAAATATTTTCCTTTATATAAGTTATTAAATATCTGAAAATGAGGTAATTGATTTATCAGTTAAAATACTAATGTTATTTTGTCTTATCTTTTGTAAATGAAATTAAGTATCTGAGGTAGAACTCCATCAGATTTTTCTTATTTTATTGCGCAAACGCGCAGTTGTACGTAGTTATTTACTCAATTTTGATTGGTTATCTAACATTTTATTTTCTAAGGAAGTATTAAATTTTAGTTATTGATTTGCATTATTTATACAAGTTATTTAGGTGTCTGAAAATGAAGTAGTGGGAAATCATAGGTTATAGAATGTAAATGTCAATGGTGTATTAGAGAATTTTTTAAAATTATTCTTCCTTATAATAATATAAGTCAAAAACAGATTTCAGTGAAGGATTTCGAAGATGCATAAGTCATGACATTATTTCAAACTTTTATTAAAATTATTAAACCTATTTATAAATGAAAGGCCTTTTTATTTAATGATAAAAAAATTAAATAAGTTTAAAATTAGAACAATTATAAACACATTGGAAGAATGTTTATGAATTTGTGGATAAATTCTCAAAAATCTACACACAACAATTTAGTGTTTTGAGTTTATTACATCGTATGCCTTCTAGTTCTCTTATAATTTCTTTCAGTAAAGTTCAAAATTTACAATCTATAATAATTTTAGTTTGCTGTTTTCTTCCTGGTACTATGCTTAACATATATAGTTCTTTTCATACTGATAACCTAATTGTTGGGAATTTTCAGATAACTAATAACTAGTATAAAGGAAAATCAATCATTAAAAAAATAATATACTTCATGTGAAGAAAATATTGGGCGTTTTGCATATCAAAATTTTATCGTCTGCTCACGTGTGTATATATTTTAAACTAATCTGTACAATTTATATAGGTATAATAGTATATTCATATAGTTTTCATTTATCTTATAATGATCACTAAACGCCTTTTCTCGACCAATCAAAATTATAGAATCTTAAGCCTCGCCACTTTTCATTAACAGCGATCTCGCGTATACGATGCCGTAATTAATCGTTAAACGATAGCACAGTTCTATCATTTAACATTATGCAAATTATGAATGGCGGTTACTATAAAAGGAAGTCTTACTTTTTAGGGAGTTATGATTATATAAGAATTTTTGACTCTCAATACGGTCATAGGAGTCAAAATTTTGAATTAGAAATGATCATTCAAGATAATTTTTTTTTTCCTCATAAAAATTTCAGTCTATATTAACATAATTACGTGATTTAGCGAGTGCAAGATCACAGATTTTGATCTTTCTAACAATGCAAATTCGGTTGGCAACAAAACGCTACATTGAATTGAGAAGCGTATCGTTTAAATTTGCAACACTGCATTTATAGTAAGCGCGATTCGCTCAAACTATGCCAAATTAATCGGTTCGTAAATTTACAAAAAGCAAAAGCCAATAGGTATAATTTATAAAATACGGAGCGAAACGGTGAAATCGCGACAGCTGTTTACGTTTATTCCAAAAAAAAGTATTACAGCTTGGGACTAATCAGCTGTGACTTTGGCTAGCAAATTAATTTGGCATCGCTATAAACGAGGTGTTAAAGGATGTCTTAGATGATTCGTTAGATTCGGTCATCATGCTTAGCAAAAAAATAGGTTAAATGTCTAAAGCAAGCTTGTATATTTTATTACACAAGGCTCACATTTCTATAGAAGCAGAAGAATGCTATGGGGCATCAATTTCCCTGACCCCCAAACAGAACGTTTTATGTTAAATTTTTTGTTGTTGGGTAATAAGGATCTCAATTAAGAGGGGTGCCAGTAACGGATAAACTAGATCCAAAATCCAAGAGTAGGTGGCAATAGGCAAACCTTGAAATGAACTCAATATTTCGAAATTTTGTTTCCTATAGGCTATTCTACCATCCTCTTTTATTCTAATGACGAAATAATGACAAAGTAGCATCTTAAGAACTCCCTTGTCCTTCAATTTCAATGAGAACCTTGCGTCATACCCACCATTCCTTTCTATGGTAGATGGGCCTGATTTTTATCGAGGACAGTACAAAGACTTTTAATTTCGTTAAATAAAAAAAAAATTTTAAGTAAAATTGAACTTGATTTGTAATAAAATTGACTGAAATTAGGTAACAAATAACTTAATTAGGTAACAAATAACAAATTAATAATCCTATTATTCTAATATATATATATTTAATTTTGAATTACGCGTTATAAACAAAATTTTGCGATTCTTTAAAATAGTCCTAATAAATGTAAGTAAAGGCCCGCGTCATTGAAATTCAAAGAATGACAGGCGGGGTGGGGGGGGGTCATAAAAAGAGGGTTGATTTTGATTATTTAGTTACGATATATTACATCACTCGTTAATTTAATCCTCATTATATATAAATATTATTATTAAATAATTTACACAAAAAATGATAAAATAAAAATGAAAATAATCAAAAAAAAAAAATGATAAAACAAAATAAATTACAAAATAAATAACGTAAAAATTTCACTTACCAAATATTTTTTTTTGTAAATAGAAAAGCCGATAGAAAGATAACTTTATAATTTAAAAGATTACAAACCAAAATTAATGATTGTAAAATGTCATTTTTTTAAATTTAATATTTTTTTTTAGAATACAAAATTTAATTTTACAAATAGAATTTTACAAAAAAAAATATCAAAAAAAAAAAGAAAGAAAAAAAAATGGTTGCTAAAAATTCGATTTCAAAATAAAACACAAAAAAAAAATAAATAAAATAAAAAATGGAGTAATTAAAAAAAAAAAGTAGGAAGATTATAAAAAAAAACAAGAAAATAATAAATAAAATAAACAAACAACAAAGTTATAAAAAAGAATCAAAAATAATATTATAAAAGAAAAGTTTTTTTTTTCTTCCTTTTTTGAAATTTTATTTTAAAATTATTTTTAAATGAAAAAAAAATGAAATGAAAAGAATTCAAAGAAACCATTGAGATGGAAAAAAAAATAAAAAGAATATAAATGATAATTGTATTCATAGCAATTTATTTGAATTGTAAATAAAATATATTTTATTTTGTGTTTACAAATGAAGAAAATAAATAACAAAAGAAGAAAAAAAAATAAAGAGTTTGAATGAAAGAAAGAAAGAAAATGGAAAAATTTTTTTTTTAAAAAAATAATACAATAGTTTCGATTTTAATGAGGGGGGGGGAGGATGGTTGCCATTTTTAAGCTTTTTAAAAGGAATGGGATTAACTTACAATCTTAGATAACAAAAGAGTGATGATCAGGCCAGTCTTATATTTTGAAAAGAATTCAGAATTGAGAGCATTAAAAACCATTAAGTTGAACCTTGGACAACGGCCTAGCAAATTGGTATTGAATCATGGCTTTTTCTTTCTTTCTTTCTTTCTTTCTTTCTTTGGTTCAATCTGGAAACTCGTGCCAAGGCTTTCTTCCACGTTGAGATATATTTTTAACAATAAAAAACGATACCATTACCTTGCTTTATATTAACGAAAACAAAATATCGTTTCTTCATCATAGCTTTCTGCTATTTCGTATAAAGATAGTTTATCATAAGATATGGAGCTCAGTATGCCCCGTTTTCAGTCTTCATAATGATTTTAGCATATGCTTGACCGTTCAACCCCATCCCACTTAAACATCCACTATTTTTTACAATTTTTTATTTAAAAAAAAACACGAATTAATTGAGAGAAATAACGAAATAAAAGATTTTACAAACAGAAAGTGTGAAGACCTTCTCCCACAGTAATAATTGAAATTTGATAAGGGATGTTCTAACCTATAATTACAACGCGACTCCTCCGCTTCTTACCTATCTTAACCCCGCCAATCCACCCAACTTACCCTTATTCAATATGCCCCATGACCCGGAAAACATTAATAATATCCTTCGCCCAACAAATAAAATCAATAAAAAAAATATATAAAATATTAATAATATAATAATATTTTTTTAAAAAAGATATATATATAATCAATTAATTATCGATGGAAGAGAGGATAAATATCCGTTACTGTATAAAATGAATGTTTTTCATTGGTTCCTCAAGAAACATTTTAGTCACTCCTTTCGATTAAAGGTCGGCGCAGCCCGGCCCAAGGCTCATTTCCGGTAGAAGGCCGGATAAATAGTTTAAAATATTATTATGAGGGGCATGGCCAAAGTTCCGAAAATATTTTTCAAGTAGGGCAAAATTAAGATCGCAATTTCCTTCATAAAGAATTATATACCGTTCTGGGAGGCTAGAACAACCTGTACAGAACATATTTTACGAGGCGGGAAGAGATCATTGCGGACCGGTCAGGTCGAGCTGAAAAAACCCTGATAGAACATTTCCGCGGGCCGTATTGGCTGGGCCGCGCCAACCTCCACTGACGAATGTGAACATTTCTTGGAGGATGTTACGGAGCAACGTTCATAGAATATTTTTTTTATTTATTTAAAGCTTAATGTAATATTAGCAGAGTTGTTAAAGGATCTAGATACAAGTATCTAATCTAGATATAAAAATGTGGTATCTGTATCTAGATAGATTTTTTTTCTAAATATTATTTTAGACGATGTATCTGTATCTAGATCCATTTAAAAAGTATCTTTTAACAACTCTGAATATTAGGTATATTTAATGTCATTAATTAGCTACTATAACTTAGTAGATTTAGTCGTAATTAGCCT